TAATGAGCTGCTTCTGCTCTGCACCTCTGCACAGAAACCAACGTGTGTGAGAATGCTGACTTCAGATATGAAGCATTCATAGCAACGCTCAGTGTTGATTCCAGAAGCTCCAGCTTTTAAGGCCCACAGGAATCCTCTCTCCCCACCTCCTGCATGGCACAAGACAGAAATTTCTCCCCATGATTGCTGCATCTGAGCCTAAAGTACCTGCAGAGTCATATCTTCTCACTGCAACAAAGGAGTCGCCCACTTATTCTGATGGTTAACTATCCCTTTATCATTATAAGTGATTTTAACATCAAATTGTTATGGAATGCTACTCTGTTTTGGCCTGCTACACTGAAGAGCCATCAAGTTCCATGTTTACTCCAGTGAAAGTAACTCACTTTGATCATCATCTCACTACTGCAGAGTTTGATTTTTCTCTCACATAAGCCTCTAACGCTTTTTCAAACAAAATGGATATTGTAATGGTATTATCGTCTTTTGGATTTTTTTTGTAGAAAGACTTTATTGCTGCAGTCAATAACCCTGTGTATCACACACAAATAACCAACTACAGTTTAAGAAACTAAAAATAATTCTGCAAGTGGTAATACTGAGAGAACAAACATACGTGAAAAGATTCAAAACTATACATTTAAGTTACTAGAAATTTACTAAGTAAAAAATTCTGCAGAACTGTGAAGTATCTTGTATAAACTATATAACACATGCCAGTGTAAAGTTGTTTAATGTTATACAATCACCTATCTACAAACATTTTACCTAAATACAAGATCAGCTGCAATTTTTAAACAGTTACCTTCTATACAGACAAGTGCTTTCAGTACTTCATTGGAACATACAAACACTGCAATATCTTGAAACTAAAGAACAGTGACAAAATAAAAGGTCCCACTCAGAATTTTTCTTTGCATATCTAATATAACACTGTGAAAATCCAGCCAGCAATATCCTTGCTTTTGTATTTGCCCTGTTTTGCCCATATTTGAGAGAGACCCAACCCACAGTCACCAACCTCCCTTTCACTGCTGGCCACAATCTCCACAGCAGACTACAACACAAATCTGTATGTTAACACACCTCAGCTTTAGGAGAAATTTGGACCCAGGTCTCACTTTGTAATAGATACTGACCCAGACAAGCACAGGGCAGAAGCATCTGGCTCCCATACGTAGCCATATCCATGCATCATTTGCAAATTTTTCTGAGAAGCGGCACGCCAAGCATACCCCTTCCTTACAGCACTGCTAAAAGGTGGGACTGATGTCCTGATCAGTACACAGGATGGGCAGAAGTGGGCTTGGACAGAGAGTTACTATTGCTTCCTAGGATTTCCCAGGAGCAGCACAGAGGCCTAGCGCTTCTCTAACCCCTTGCAGGCTCAATGGCTTTGCTTCAGTGAAGGTTACAATCTCAGTAACATTCAACCAGAGGAAGCTGTCTCCAGGTCTGTCCATCTTTTCAGAATACAGGGCAAAATTTTAAACACTAGCCATGCTCCCAAAATACAGGGTTACAGTTGAAAGTCCTGAGAATTCGTAGGAATTTAACATCTCATGGTCTCTTACAGGGGATCAACCTTCTGCAGCACACACTTGTATTTCTAACATAATGCATGTTCATGACCTGGCAGATAGACCAAATACGACATTGCAGGGAAATCTCCTTGGCAGAGCCGGTGTTTTTTTGGACAGGATTAAAGTTATTAGAATGGGAGTCTAGTCAGATGTCTACAGCATGGGACATACCACCAAAGGCTCTGGCAATCTAGGGAAGGGGCCGTGGTAGATGGCATTAAGCCTATATTCCCTCCTACTTAAATTCTGGTCTCAGAAAGGTCCCAGGTAACCCAAATGAACTGTGGCCAAGGAACAAGGACTAAAAAAAATTCTGACTTCTATTTCAGCCCTTTCAAAAGCTGCCAGAAGGAAGTGTTGGAAAGCCTGATCTGACAAGGGGTGGTTGTTCCCCTTACTAATAGGAATGATGGAGCTCACCTGAGCTAGCATCAGTGCCTCACAGCTGGAAGCTGAAAAGTCAACAGAACCTCCTTGAGGAGAAGGAAGAGAAAAGCACCATTCTGCCTTCTCACACCATTTGATGGCACCAGGCAGCAGCAGAGAACTTCAGCTCCAGAAGCCCACTGTTAAGACCAAGCAAGAATCAGCATGAGAACTGTGACCAGCATAAATGAAAACCCTTGACAGACGGATCTCTTCTGTGGTCCTTCCTGGTATGAGCATTGCTAAGCAGTATAAAGACTTTAAATATTGGCCTTAACTTTCATTCAGAAAAGTCCTGCTGGGAGAGGGAATAGTTAGCCGCAACACTGGCTAAAACAGTTTCATCCACAAATATTTTTCCCCAGATGATTTTGCTGGAGATGATTTTTCTTCCCAAGTTAAGATACACAGTAGCACAGCAAAACCCTTCAGTATCCTGAATGCACTGAACACTATCTGGCATGTGCCACATGGAGCTTTCAAAACACCAAATGAGATTCCACAGTATTTCACAAAGAATCACATATGACAGTGATTGAAACAGGACCAGCACATGACAGTACGCCATATTGACACTTGTCAGAACATTGGTCAGACACCAGTGCCTCTCAGGTGTGAGCTGTAGAACAAGCACGTTTCTTACCAGAACTTGTCCATTTTCATTTCACCCACTGGCAACAGATCAGATGAGAACGTGCACAGCATCAGTCAGCAGCTGATTGTGTGCATCTTGCATCTGTAACATGAGCATCTCGCAGACATGTAAGCCTCGTGCACTTGGGCGTTTCAGAACATGATGAACGTGTGCAAGACCTGATATTTAACCCACCTGAGTTATCTAGTAAATCTTTTCACAGAACAAAACAGAAAACAAAACAAGACTGTGTTATCTGGGTTCTCATAATAGCAGAGGATCCCCACAGCAGAGTTCAGGAAAGGGCCCGAGTAATTGCACTTTAAATTATGGCAGGCATAGGCAACAACTATACATGCCTATGAAGACTGCTGCCCTGATACTAGCAGGGTGTGCAGGGTTTGTCTGCCTGTATCATGTAAGCATGGGACGCATCCTGACACCAAGCGCAGTACACAAACCCATGCCACCCATGCCAATGCAGCTTTGCTAGGACTGCCTAGAGGTCTGGGTATTTTAAAATATCTCAAGAACAAGGTACCGTGTTGTTCATGCAGATCACAGTCAGTAAGCTTCAAGTATGAGATCATGCAGAGGCACGCACGCACACACACGCATTTCCTCTAACAGCTCTTAGAAACCACTGGTGTGTGTTCTCTTACCACAGTCCTTTCTCTGCCTTATTTTACAATATTAATTAAGAAATAAATTAATATTATATTTTAAGGAAAAAATCACCAATCTCTTACTGTTATTCTTTGGGAAGTCTTCAAGCAACTACTTATATTCTGAAAGGGACTTGCCGAATGAAAGTTGTACTTGAAAAAGACTAAGTAATACCTGAACTGGAGCCAGGGATTTAGTTCAGTATCGCAAAACGTAAACGGAAGCTTTTACCTAACTGAGAAGTCCAGGCAACTCCTACTAAGAACAACCAGAAGATTATCATTGACTTTACAGAGATTTAGATAGGGCTCAGATTGCAAAAGTCAGCTTTCAGATGCGGAGGCCTCGTGTGCTGACTTTTCATGGGGCTTCATTTCTGCTCCAGTCACATTGACACTTTGGTTAAATGAGAGCCTGAAGCTAGACAGTGATTCAGTGAAGCAGGTTGGTCAAGCAAATTAACAGCAGACACCTCAGGCTTTGGGCAACTCTGTTTAAAGCCCTGCAAACAGATTTTAAAGCTCTTATCATTAATGCTAACTGATTAAAAAGCCAGTCCCAAATTCAAAAGCATAGACAAAACTGTTCTCTGACCACACCATGCATCACAGCAGGACTAAAACCAGGCAGGTATTTTTAAACTCATCCAGTTAATGCAGTATTTACTTCCTAGACTGTGATCTCAGCATCTGCTCTGACAATGTCAAATTCTTGGGTAATTCACACATGACACAGCACTAAAGAAGGAAAACCAATTTCAGCTGTATTGACCAAGTATCTTTTTTTCCATAACAGTTCACATATTTACCAATATAGTAACAAACCCTTTGCCAATAGTTTGGAATGAAAGTTACGTCAGGTATATATCTGGCAGGTATGTTGATGGTCTAGCCTGTTTAAAAAAAAGCAAAACCAATCCCCAAAACTGAGCACTGAAATCATTACACATTGAAAACAAATACTGTACACATCCACCACTCCACACACACAAGTCACAAGTGCAATATCCTTTGAAAAAAAATTCCTCAAAGGAAACCCAAAAAGGCAGAATTTTTTAGTGTTATGTTTAGTAAGATAATGTGGGCATGTGTTGGAAATCACAGATTAGAATTTTTTTAATTTGTTTTTTTCATAAGGCAAGAGGTTTACGCTCTAGAAGAATAGACGGGGTAAAGAATGAAGAAATGTTTTGAAAATGACACATTCTTTCAAGTTCCATGCTCATTTGACATACGTATTACAAAATAAAGATTTTTAAAAGTGCTATATGCTTTGTAAATTTCGTCACAATACATAAAGCAAAATTTTACACCTGCTGCCTAAGACAAAACGTTAGTGGCAGTATTAGTGGTAGATTAGATTCTAGCGCTCTCATTTCCCTCAGCGTCTGGGACATCCTCCTTCATTAGCTTAAAGAACAGACAAACAAACCAACCAACCCCACTCTACGTGTATCTATACACTATACGTAATCATTTAGAGTTATCTTCTAAAGTAATAGACTCCATGAGGTTGATGACAGTTCACTAGCGGCTTGCTTGATACCAAACCCAAGGCTCATTCTACCCCGTATCCTGTGGCTCTTTGATCAGCCAGTACAAGACACAAAACGTTGAGAGGTATGCAACAATGAGACGACATTGACAGATATGTCAAAGGGATTTAAAAAAATTCCAACAAAAAATAAATGTAAAAAAATTCACCCACCAGCCCTCAGCTGTTAGCCAATTTTTAAAAAGGTAGAGCAGTTTGCAGTAAACAATGATATTTTAAATCTTCAAGGAAATACAGAAACACCCCTTCCACCCAGCAATCAGACGTGAAGGATTTCTGCAGCAGAGTCTTCTGGCTCTGTGTAATGTGAAGAGTTTGTGTCTGAACGGTGTACCCCAAGCATTTCTTTACTATCAAAGTTTGGCTCCATTAGTGCAGGTTTTTCAAAAATGTTCTTTTTGATAGTTTCTGGACAGTTTTGTACATATATTACTCGGTTATAAGCTTTAAGTCTCTTCCACAGCTGTATGTACACTTTGCACTGTACATACATGAACAGCAGTCCTCCAGTGAAACCAATAGCCACAACCACCAGCTTAGTCCAAAATGGCCACTCTAAAATCCCTGGAAGAGAGAAAATTAAAAAAGAAAGAAAAAGGACCAGGTCAGTATTGGCTGGACTACATTGGATCTCTCAAAAACATCCTTTAAGGAAACTGTCACAGAGTTTGGGCCATGTAAACTATTGTTATTTTGCCATTTTTATTCGGCCTTCCCCTCACCCCCACTCCCCTTCAAGTCAAACACATGCAGACTTCTGCTTCACATATCACACTTATTCTCACCCACCAGAGGAAAAACAAAACAATTGATCCTCTGTGCCTGAGCCCTTGTGCAGCACAATCACAGACAGAGTCAAGGCAACAGCCAGGAATAAGCTTAGGTCCTTTTACACCTGTTTTTAAATGAAGATTGGATCAGATTATGAAAGGGACTCTATGGCATGGTTTCCTCTTCAAAGCAGCAGACTCAGCTCAGTGACCCAAGAACTCTGGGTTTCCTCTTCAAAGCAGCAGACTCAGCTCAGTGACCCAAGAACTCTGTGATTACACAGTACGTGGAGTCACAGTCTTTAAACCCAAAAGGGTATGATTGCTTCCATCTAGTCTGACATGTTCATTATGCAGACCAGACAATTTTATCTGCATCAGACCCAGTAACTTGTAGTTGAACTACAGTGTCTCTCCTGACGTAAAACTGCAAGTGCTGGAGATGCTGAAGCATTCTGGCAAGCTTGCCCTCTGTATGAAAAATGACCACAATTACTTTTCCTGAATTTGCCTAGCTTAAACTTTTAGATATTGGATCTTGTTACATCTCTATCAACTATTAAATGAGAGACTGTTCATTTTACACAGCTTCTGCTTACATAGGTCCTTTCTCCACCCAGCTTCTCTCCTCTTTAAAGATAAGTGGCATCACCAGATGGATATGGAACCATGCTGAGTTACCCACCATCAGGTTTCTCAGAGCATAAAATCATGGCCTCCCAAGTATTCAAAGTTTTTACCAAGATACAGGTCAGTGTTCTTTTGGAAATACATAGTAATGTGGAAGGAATGAAAATATTTTAGTCCCAAAAATACAAAGGGCACTGCAATGTGAATACTGGTGAAATCCCACCCATAATTAATACCTGAACCTATGGCATCAGGTGAGCTATCTGATGCCATCTGTAGGCAGTGACAGCATATGCTTGCCCCTATGGAGACGTGAATGTATACCAACCCCACCCCACCCTCCCCAGTTCATTACAGCACTCCCCAGATTTAGAAACCAAATGAAGCCAGCAAGGCAGCACTGCAACAACTACTAATTGTTCACACTAATCCTCCTATTCACATTCAGCTAATATATTTCTTGGTTAAAACAACCTGGAGACAATAAATCTTTGAAAGCATATGCTTTTCGTTATCATATGGAAACCTTACACTGAAAGGCCAACAATTTTAAGCATACGTGGAATAGATGGGGTTGGATGGAACAGAAAAGATTTCATTCAAAGCAGCTTCTTGACTGAAGTAATGAACAATCAAACTACAGCCAAAATGAAAAGTGACAGCAAAACTGTTCAGTTTGAAGTGTGATTCTGCTCTAAAGAGGCTGCAACAGCTTTGCGGATTTGCAGGTTTATTGATGCTCAGCTGCCTCCCCAGATGATGCTTTCCAATCACCAGCAAAACATTTTCCAGCTGCATGTCTAGTTGGCCTGCAATGCTCTGTGAGCAAGGACAGCTTGCCTTCTAATGCGTCCCCACCTTAGCAGATACCCCATCCCTTTTATCCCCACCTTCAGGGACAGCTGAGCTGCCTGAGAAACAGTTTTGTGATAGCTGCAAATTTGCAGCCCAGCACACCCAGGTAAACAGTTTTCAATCTGGTAAGTTTACAGCTAGCATGCTAAAGAACACCTACTATTCAAGCAGTTAAGACATCCCTGCAGCCACTACATGAATTGCAGTGTATCTCATCTCAGTTGCGTGGAGTCCTAAGAATCAGCCTGAATTTCTTCTGCTTCAGGGACAGTCACCCATAAAAAATTTCTCCAGTTTAACACGACTTTCACAGAAAACTTGTGCTAACCCACCTCACAGATGACCGAATGGAAAGAAAACCCTGTTGATTTAGCGTGAAGATTTGGATTTAGGTTCCTCTTATTTCTTCTCTTTTTAAAAACTGTTCTGGTTTTGCTTAGTTAAAAAGTAGGCATAGCAGCAAACAAATGCTTACTTCCTTATCTGTTCAGTAAGTGTTCCAATTCAAAACTAAGTTAGCTAAGCCAGTACAATTTTGTGTCTAGCTACGGTGGATTAGCTCTCATATATATACATTTCAGAAGTCCAAAATAAGTTGACTTGAAAGAGACTTCAAAAGCACCCACAGATTAATTTACATTGATTTAACTAAAGCATTTTAGAACAGTGCATTTAAACCAATCCAACCTCAGGCTAATGCTGACTAAGCATAAACGTTACCTGCACACTCATGCTCTGCATCCTCTCTGCAGACCTCTTCAGGACAAATAATTATTCCAAGAGAGTAAGTGGGGAAGATAAGCAACTAACATACCGGTAGTCTGTCCCTGTTTAATCTCTTCAGCGGTCCTGTCTATCAGGACATAGAGAGACCACACAACGCAGGTGATGGCAATGATATGGAATGTTACAGAGCACATGATCTTCCTCCTCTCGCTGGCTGTCATCTGCAGCTTCTCCCACTGACAAGAAACCCAGAAGCAGAGCAAGAGATTAGGTGTTTATTGTAGTTATTAGAGAGTATAAAAAGAGAACATTGATAAGTACAAAAAACAGGCAGGAGACCAGTTTCTCCATAACACAGATTTTAAAAGTCAGACAGCATTACTGCACTGACCACAGCATGTCTGCAACAGCAGGCAGCTCACCCTGCTGTGATGGGAGTGGTCCTGGCACGGGAGGGTATCTTCAGTGCTCAGCTCCGAGCTGGAGCCTCAGCACAATGTCACCGCACCCTGCTTACCCAGGCAGGCACAACTCCTAACACAGGGCCTTGTGCAGTGCAAGCAAGGCTGCTCCTTCCTGTGTTCCCCACTGAACAGCGGGTACCCACAGTCACCGCTGAGCATCATGAGGGGCAAAGGGTACCCTTGCTTAGGCAGGTATTCAATAAAACACTGCAATAAAAGTTGTACATGATCCAATTGACCAGTGCGTGCAAGACATCTCATGCTGAGTTCTGTTAGAGTCCCTCGGTGCACAGTCAAGGCTGTTTCGCTCTCAGCTCAAGGCTGTTTAGTTCGCACCTCCTACCTCTGGGGGTTTCATTCAATTTTCATATATATTTAACACTACTTACAGCAGTGACACTCATATTTTATTTTCAGTGTTTCAAGTGCACTTAAATATATGTGCCCTAAGAATGTACAGTAGAACTGGGATGACAGCTTCTGCAAGCGAGAGGATGCAGCAAATTAAATTCCCAGACATGCATCTATCAATAATGTTTATACAGCCCAAACAGAAACCACAAAGTCCAGCTCCTGTCATTTAGGAAAGATACAAACAAACTACACAATTATTAGAGATGCTTCTAATACGCAAGGAATTGTTCAAAACTAGCTTTTATTTTTTTTACCTGAGACATCTGGAAGCTGTTTTTTTAAATTATTTTTTGGCAATTTCCCCTATGCATATGATGAAAGTTTTTGCGTATGGGTTACACATCTCTCAGTGTATCTGCTTGGAACAGAGAGTTAAGGTGGGCTTTTCTCACTCTGTCACAAAATATATGCTGGGGCACATAAGCTTCTCATACATGCCTATGAGCTTCTAGAGAGATGCATTTGATGTCTCCTAGAATAATTTGTAGAAAAAGAGGACTTTGAGAAGGAGAAATAATGTGGAAGAGACCGAGGATGTCCTGACTGGTATCACTGAGATCACCCATTATGCTGAATTATTATTTCCACTGCTTCAAATACAAGAATGGTTGAACCCTGAAACGGAGACTTTGTGACCCCCACTGTCTTGCCAACAAACAATCTCTTTGGCCAGTCCAAGCCACATCTCCTGTTCTCGGCATCCAAATCTCATCATGGCACAAGAACTGAGGACTTTCAGCAATGACATGCTAGACTCATGTCATGCTAGAAAGACATATTTTCAATACTGTTAGAAAAAGATTAGACAAAACATTCCCTTTGGATGTTGTGTTTTAAAAAGAAAATTGCTTTTGCACCTAAACAAAGGTGTTTAACTTTGCTAGAAAGTATAAATTATTTGTCAAAATGTAAGCACGTACAATCTATTTGTGAATGCTCTTTACAGAGCCACACGGACTTGTGTTTTGACTAATTTATATTTCTCTTTTATATTCCACAGCTTGAGCTCCTCCACTGGACAGCATCTCCTGTGAACTGCTGGCTCCACAGCCAGCAAACCAGCCCAAACCACCTCACCTCTTCAAGAGATTATGACTGCACGGCAAAAGAGGAGATATTCTGCAAACTATTGTCCTGGGTTTGGCCAGGACAGGGTTAATTTTCACCAGGAGCCAGGAGGGGACACAGCTGGGCGGGCTGATCCCACCTGGCCAAACAGAACAGGGTATTCTATACCATGTGCCATCATGCTGGGTTCTGGTGGGGGGGGAGCTGGGCAGCAGGAACTCTGGAACTCTCTCGTGGATCGGGACCGCACAGCGGTGGAGAGCAGCTCTCTGTGTTGTGCGGTTT